ATATATATATATATATATATATATATATATATATATATATGGATCATATATTTGTAGATTAAACAAATACATGTTTTATTGTTTTAAACATGAAAATGGTAAATTGAAAAGTAACTAACTGCTGCATTGTTTTTTACTGGTTTACTTTTCTACTGATTGAAAAATTATTCCACACATGTGACCAACTCTGATACCTAATTTAGAATAAACACCGGTGGATAAGTGAACAATGGAGTACTCATTAAAGCACAATATTTGTTGAATACAACAGAAAAAAAAAATGCACAAGTTTTCTTCATTATTTTAAGGGCCTGTGTTTTGTGTTAGCTTTTTTTAATTTATTTTTTATTATTTTTGCAAAAAATGAAAAAAAGTTAATTGTGTTCTGGACTCTTTCTTGTATTTTAAATGATGCATTGATTAACTCATTTAGGGAGTCATTTTAAAACTGTTTTGATCTTTAGATCATATTTAGTTATGGATTTTCTCACTTGGAAACCTGGCTGTATACACACAGTTCTTTAGTACAGCTTTTGACATTTTTAACATATATTTTATTATTTTTTGGATGAGTTTTACGGATTTTAATCTTTTAACGGGATGCTTTTTGTTTGTTCATATTTTATTACTCATTTCTACTTTTTTTCTTTTATTCCAAGATGGTAACATCCAAACTCTCACATTTATTCCTTATCCTTGCTGACATAAATAAAACTGGTTTGTCACGTTTATGTTGCTGCCATTGTTTCTTTATCATACAAACTTGTCTGCAAAGAACACTAAAACAGATCATGATGAATGAGGAAAATGTCAGCTTCAATTTTAGCACTGAACAGGAAAACCATAGAAATATCAGCTGAAAGATTCAAGCATATGAAATGTGATAAAAACATATTTGTCTGAAAGTGTCACAATCAGCACAGCTGAACCCTCAGGGTAGCTTGTGAAAAAAAGAAGGTCTTGTCAGAAGTATAGCACTCCAGCATCAGTCATTTTTATTAAATGTGGCTTAGACAGATTTTTTTATTTAAGGTCACTGAATGCAAAATGTGTATTTTGTGAGTCTGTTGAATCGGTCCACTGCAGTAGTCCTTGGTGGGGTACTTTCTTTCATCTTTGAAACAAATTGATTGGACTCTAATCATAATGAAAATGTTCTTTCCTTTCGTTCCCTTGGAAGGTTTGGATTATTTCCTACCTCTGTCTGACCTTCTTATGGAACAAAAGATCAGGCTATGTTTGAAAAAAGGCAGTGATGAAAGTTGGTCCATCTGGGAGTGGATAGCCTATTTTGCAATGAACACAACAAAAAAGCAGCCAACTTTTGGCAAATCATTGGGGTATTTGGCTGCCAAGTTTATGCACTTTGACAATGGCACCCAAACATTCAGCAGTCAGATCTGTATCAAAGTGACCTACGTATTCAAGGGATTTTTATTTTTTTGTTGTTGAACCAAGCAAAAAAAATGGCAGCGTTGAACATGAGCCAGAGATGAGTAGGGGTAGAAATGGCATAAATTTAGATTCTCTTGAAAAAAAAAAAGTGGGTGTTGGGTTAGAAAAAGGTTCACAGGCAGCGTGCCAGACTGTGATAGATGCGGTTCAGGCTTTAACATCAGTTGCTGAAGTAGTCATTTGTTCCAAACAGACATATATGGATCTAAATCAAACCTAAAGATGGGGCGTTCTCCTTGAGGAGGGCACCTTCAAAAGATGCTAAAGTGAGCATCGTGTTTGAAATTTATGATCTGCTGAATCAGCATTTGTTGCATAGTGACATCCACATGTGTCTTTCAGTTTTTGTCACTTATGTTTGCAATAGCAGCAGTTGGGGCGTTACTGTTATTGGCTGGATTGGGTAAATATCAGCTTCACTGTGACTTGTTGATTTTCAGCTAAAGTATATGTGTCAGATGTTACTGTAATAACATTTGTTACATGCACACAACAGTTTGACAAACTTTCAGTGTTTCTGCTTGATTTTTTGATCTGCCTACTAAATGGCTTCACATTAAGAAACTGCAGGATTGGTACTTGGCAATGGGAGACATAGGATGATCCACATGAATGAAAAACAGTGAAGGCTTGTATCTCACAGGAACGTGACTTTGTCTGCCACCCACCTTGTTGCACAAAAGCACCATAGACAATCCAGATAGCGCTCTGAAGTGAAGTGGAGGCAGAAGGTGGTGGATGACCTGTGCTGTTGTGGCATCGCACTGCCTGGATACGCCTCAGCAGGAAAATCATGATGCCCACTACTGGGATGGCTGCAGCGATGCATGCCCACACGGCCAGGTCAAACGGTGCTAACAGAGAAAAAATGTTGATCTTTTCCTCTGACTTGTGCATCAGGATCCCCACGGAGTAATCCAGGTAGCGCTTGCTGAAATCAACAACGCTCTCGCGCTCAGGTGTGATGGTGATGGCTGATGTGGCCAAGTCAGCTCTCTGTAAAGAGGCATTTGTCTTTATGCACAGACTAATATTTTTAGTTATTCAGCATCAAATTCAACAATATAATAATGTACAGTAGTCCCTCGTTTATCACAGGGGATCTGTACCCTCAAGACCTGCAATAAGTGAAAAACCGCAAAGTAGGATTAGTAATAAAAATAGTAAGTACTAGTTTGTTTTATTATTTATATAAAATATATATTAGGGCGTTTTAAACCCTCCCTGCACTCTTGTAGTATTCTAAACAATGTTTCTTAACGCTCTAAAAGAGCAAAGAATGTCATAATTTCAGCTCCCTGCCTCCTCTGCTCTTTGCCTCCTGCAATCGCTCTTGGCCACGCCCACTTTTCTGCTCTGCAGGCTGAACATCTGATCAGCTGTTTAACTGCAGCAGGAAGTTTATCCTGCAGCAGTAATGGCTGTACAAAGTTGCAGGAGGAAGCTTTTTCTGCTGCTCTGGGCTGCACAAATGCAGCAGGTGCTAAATAATTTTAAATAATTTATTTTAAATAAAAATGTCATGCCAATCGTGCAGCTCATCCATCAATCAGCCAATTGTGTGTCATGTCCAATATTATTTCGAAAAACCGCAATAGAGCAAATCCATGATAAACGAATGCAAAGTAGCGAGGGACTACTGTATACAACTTCCACTAATTGGCCTTTATATACCTACATATATAGATATACTGTAGAGGTAGAAAGATGGATACAATAGATAGATAGCTAGATAGATATAATAGATAGAGATAGATAGATGGATAGATAGATGGATACAATAGATAGCTAGATACAATAGATTTATTGCTAGATAGATGGATACAATAGATAGATAGATAGATGATAGATAGATACAGTAGATAGATACAATAGATAGATAGATTAGATACAATAGATAGATACAATAGATAGATACAATAGATAGATAGATAGATCACTATATGTCAGTGTTTCTCCTACCATTATACAAGGAGGGCACCCTGCCCGCTCAACAGAAACAAGCACCCTGCCTACTGAACTACCCTACCCCACCCATTGACAACTGCCAGCAACGCAGCATTAAGCAGGCGGCGCAATACAGAAGCGCTAGCTAAAAAGCTACAGAGCTACATCTCCTTCATGTTGAGCCGTCTCCTTCACTCACCCCCCCCGCCCCCCCAACATTATTTAAAACCTTTCATACTGGATGCCACTCACTAGGAGAACGTGTTTTTGCAGATAAAAACACATGATCAGTGTAAAATATGTTCAATATAATGCTATTATTATAATCAGCGCAATTGCCTGAAACTGGGCTCAAATATGGACACACAACCCTTCACAAAAAAAAAATAAAAAAATAGCTCAAACACTAACCTTTGCAATGAGTTCTCCAATCATGCCATTCCAGGATCCATTGGGGAGTACTGAGCCATACTTCCCATCACCAACTTGGTAGATGTCGTACTTGAAGCCCAGAAGCTTGGCGAGTGCATCCAAGACGTCGATTGAAAAACCTTTGTATCTTTTGGGTTGCCCCAGAATGTTTTCTGCCACCATCACAAAAGGTTCCTCCTGTTTGAATGAAAGTTTTAGTTGAGCTTAAAGGAGCTGGAGATAATGTTACGCATACGGCAACAAAAAGAAAATTGCCAATCAAAGAGCTTTATTGCTATAGTTAGGATTCAAAACTGTAAAAGACTGGTGTCTGAGATTGAATACATTCATCAAGATACTCCTGAATATCCTCATGATGACACTGACAGCTGAAGCAAGGACATGCTCAGTCATCTTAAGACACCTTTATGAAGAGCTCCAGTATGATCTACATTAAACTTCATCTTAATAAAATAGTTTCCCTAGCAACTCTTGACCCATAACCCATGGCGCCATGGCAACTGCTATGGTTCATCAATGTGGCAATTGCCATTCTAAATTTATTGCTCCCACCCATAGTTCCTCTTTATGAGTTAAGTGTCAGGGTAGAATTAAATAGGTGGAGTGAGGAAGCTGAGGAAGATGGGGCTGAGGGACAAGGAAGAGGAGGGAGGTGTTAAAGCGGGCAGGGGCAAATGACTTGATTAAGTGACACTGCCAGGAGAGAGCTGAGCAGAACTTATGTGGATAAATATGGTGAAGGTAAATCATCTGTGAAGAGGAGGAAAAATGGAAAGGAGGAGATGTGACGCAGAGGACCAGGGGGCTTTGTTTTAGAGTCGTTGCTGCGGTGTAGGGATTGCTTTTAACAACTGCGAGATGCATTAAAGGACATGATGAGGGGAGTTGTCCTGTTCGGAATGAAACTGATGTTTCACACAATTATCATCCTTAATATTTGTAGCAGAACGTCAAAGTACTGCCTCAATATCACTGATAATTTTCTAACTCCGTATGAAATATTTTGAGTTTTTTAATGGAATCGTTTTCTGAAAGGATTAAAATGAACTGTTTGCTCATGTGGTTGTGCAAAAGGAATTTTTCATTTGCCTTCTTGAATTTTTTTTTGAAGTTGAGAGTCCACAAGACTGTTGCTTTCACATTTGTGTTCATATTTACAAAGGCTAAGCATTAATAATATATTAAACAGCTTTATTTTCATGTTCCTGATCATATTTTAGCAGCAATAGTTTTTGATATTTAGTCATTTTAATGTTCAGATTTTTAAAGACATTCTGTTTTTCCAACATTAACATTATATATGTCAAACTGTCGGCAAGAGTTTTTATCCTGAAACAGACACCGGGAATGCGACATATCAGCACCTTAATACTGAAAAAACAAAGTAAAATAGAATAAATTACAACTTTTTATTGTGAAAATGTACTTAATCAAAAGTGATTTGCATAGTAACACAGCATTCAATTTGTGTTTAACTAAAACAAACTACAGCTGAGTAAGAAAATGTGGTGCGAATGACAATAAAGAATCTCTGAAATTGTAACCTGTTTTGAAATGTTTGCCTTAAAACTGTTCTGTTTATTTTTGTTACTAAAATAATTGCCTACTCAGGTTGAAGTGTTAATAGATTCAGCACACTCCTGCAACTTACCAGTAATGTTACAATCTTGAGTGTCACTCCCTGCATGCCACTCTCGATCCGGTTCTCCTTCAGGCTACCATTCAAGCCACGAGTGGAGTCCCAAGATGCCAACTAATGGGGGAAAAACGGAGAAATAAAAAGGGTTAGGAAGAGGAAACTGTTAAGATACTGAGCTCAGATGCAATTCATCAATTCAATACTAAGCAGGATGGGATGAAGACGGTTGTACTTAAAGTAATACACTTTCAGTATCTTCCAACTTTTGACGTGATTGTAAGATAATTGGCTGTAAGTGGTCAAGGTGTACTTTTACATCTATATTTGACCAAATGTTCTCGGAGCCCTCTGTTTAATTTACGTTGCAGAACGCTGATCAGTTTTGAGACATTCTATAGAAAATCTGAACCACTTTTCTCCATCCATAGACGACATTGACAAGAAAAGAGCTTAACAGTCTGGTTATTTTTGAAGTGATTTTTCTGTCAAACACTTGTCAAAGGTTAGTACCTTAGCAGTGTCAGGACTCTGACATTTACACAGACTATTCTTGGCACAAATCCACTTAGTAACACAGACGTTTCTCGGTTAAGAAAACTGCAACAAAAAGTTGGTCCACTATGGGACTGTGCTGCTTGTGGGAGTAATTTTGTTGTGGCTCCTTGGACCGATGAACTCCTTTGGATGAAGGATGGAACATCTCAACGGAAAAAGGAGAAAACGTCCAGATGACCTGACTGAACATTGTTGGATTTTCTACCTGAATTATTGATGAACTGTAATAGTTTGAACCACTTTGGCAATGGCTGCCTCAGAGGAGTTGACGGGGAGAGGGTGGGCCCCAGAAACCATCTTATCACCTGCAAACTAGTTGGTCCACTATGGGAGTGTGCTGCCTGTGGGACAAAGTTTGTTGTGGCTCCTCAGACTGGTGAAGTCCTTTGGATGAAGGATGAAACATCTCAGCGGAAAAAAGGAGAAACCGTCCAGATGACCTGACTGAACATTGTTGGGCAACAAAAAGTATAATGCCAATATGTAGAAGTTTTCTGGTGTTCTTTCATACCAGTAAGACATTTTTTCAAAGGTTCTTTTTATAGAAGCCTGAAATTTTTAAGAAAATGGGGTCCTAATTACCATTAGCCAAATCTATAGGGAGTGTTTTGCCCTTCTCAACGCACTTGATAAGTTCTGTTAAAACAGAACATAACTTCAAAAATGACCAGACTATCCCTTTAAGTGTTCAATAACCACAACTTTAAGTAGACTTTTAGCTCGCTATGTGAAACTGTCACATAACATCAAATCTGATGAGCTCTTTGAGTTTTTTCTTAAATCCAAACAAACTTTTAGTTTTCAGCCTCTCGTTCCACATGGGCAACCTTTGAAGGTTTGTCTCAGGTTGTGAGGCTGATGTTTCGTAAATTTTTAATCAGAGCTGCTAGCAGGACAAGGATTCTCAAGGATCTGACACATCATTTGGAGTGGCCTTTGATTTGAGCTGACAGAGTGAGACTTGTGGCCCAAGGTCAAACAACAGGCCTTTCAGGCCACAACAAAACAACAATCATTTTTTACACCACAAAACAATGTACACCACAAGAACAACATTTTTTCCCACAAAGTTAAAAAGCAAACAAAACAAAATGGTGTATTAATAATATTTATTATTCAGCTAAATATACTTTTTGTTTAGCTACTCATTCTGGGAATACTTTTTAAATCTATACAAACCATACATTTTGTTTTTCCACTATCAAAATATTGAGCTGCCATATTTATAAACATTTATCATCATAACTGAAATATCATCCTCAATGTGATACTGATCTCAAAGTCTATTTTGTTAGATTTAGTGCCACCTAGTGATGAAGCTGCAGATTACATTTAACAGTCCATTCTCCACCCAAACCAAGTTTAGTTGTGTAGACAGAAAATACTACAACTGTAAAATAAATTGAAACAAATAACCAAGAGAAAGTAAGACCTGCTCTTAAATCAATTTATTTATGGGCTACTGTAGAAATATGACATTAAAATATGACTATGAAAATAGTCATATTATTATGTCACATTTCTAGGGGAGTGGGGGCGCAGACGTTAAAGATGGTGGGACTGTGATCAGAATGTTGTTGGTTCAACTCCCCGGACCAACAACATCAAATTTCCCTTTTCCATTAGTACCTTTAGTACAGCACAGTTCGACTCGGTACGGTACACCTTGTGTTTCCATTATACTTTCAGTACCGGTTCTAGTGGGCTGAGTTCAAATTGACATCACGCGCCTTACCAGCTGGTGGCGGTAAGACCCTGAAACAGGTTTCAGTACAGGGTGATAATTTATTTTGAAGTTTCTGGTAAATTAAAAAGAATACAGATTATTAAGATGACCAAATTAAACAATATATATAAACATCTTGCTAATGAACTTTTAATGAACTTTAGTTCACCATTAAATCTCTGAAGCAGATTCTACTAAAATATCTATATTGAAAATGATATGTTTTCTTCATCATTTGATGTATTTGCACTCGCTGTGTCTACTTTCATTGTTCAATTTAGATGTGTGATTTTGTTTCTTGTTTACAGATTATTTTTTATTTTAGCTGTGCTTTAAAGTTTAATTCTTGTTTTGTGTTTTGTCTGTGGGTTGGAATAAAGTTGAACTAAAGACTATATTTCTTCTTTAAACAATGTTTGAGCGATCCAATACTTTTGTGTCTGTTTTGTGATTTTTCAGCTGCGTTAACTTTAACAGATTATTTAATAATCATTAAAGTGAAAAAAGGTTTTCAGGATAAAGCCGGCACCGTTTATTTATTTTTTTATTTTTTTATCTTCACTGATTTAAAAAAAACAAAAACAAAAAAAACTTTTTTTATACATAAAATATTTTAAGAAATTGTTTCCACCCTCCATCCCGGTCCGCCCATCTGCCGGGGGGTCACGGTCGGGCTTTAATGATCATGGAAGGCCGGGGTCCAGGGTCCAGACCCCGGCCTTCTGCGAGTCAGCAGCTCGTATGATCCTCCACAGTGACCAGCAGAGCTCGGAGCCCGCAGAGCGCACAAGGCCAGTGCCCGGAGCCCAAGCCCCAGGTTTGCAGCACAGACGATCTTCTGTGGTGACCGGCGGAGCTCGGAGCCAGGGAGATGACGCCCTGCACGACCTGAGGGGGCTCCGAGGCTCCGATGGAGAGGATCGGGGGGAGTCGGGGGGGCCGGCGGATCTCCATCTAGCTCGCTCTGATTTTCGTCATTGGCCACCAAGCACACAAACCACCTGCACTTCAGCATTAGACCACGGTGTTGTCATTTTTGTTTTTAAAAGCTTAAAAATAGATCCAGCTGCTGCTCCGACTTCCGAGTAATTGCAAATGGCGAATTTTGTTGATGTGAAAAGTTCCTCAACAGCCAGTGACTCCACCTCCTGACCAATCAGTGACCGACAGTGTTCTGACGTCACGCTTTGGTGTCAGTTCGGCCCGCTTGGAACCCCAGAGAAAATGATACTGAAAAAAGGGACCGGTTCTATGAACCGTTACTAATGGAAAAGCCTTGGAACCGTGCTGAGTCGAGTCGAGCCGTGCTGTACAGTTACTAATGGAAAAGGGGCAAAAATGTGGGAGGGAAAGGTGAAGCACCCACACCTGCCTCCACCCTCACTCGCCCCATTCTGGGCCCTTGAGCAAGGCCCCTAACACCATCTGCTCCCCTGAGCACTCTAGATGTCAGCTCTCTGCTCCACACAGAGGGCTGTGGTTGCGTCAAGAAGAACATCCGGCGTAAAAATAATTGCCAAGTCTTTGTGCGATTTAATTCGCTGATGCGACCCCTGAAGAAGAGAGCAGCCGAGAGAAGAAAATAAATAAAATAAGTAAATAAACGATACATAATATGACTATGAAAAAGACCTGCGCCATCTGTACATATAATAAAAAAAATCACTGTAATAAAAACACACCACTATGTTTTGTACACTAATAAAAATGCTCGTCTCAAATTAATAAGGCCTACATATAATAGAAAAAAAAAATCTCATATTCACAATAAATAGCTTATTAGCTCCCTTTTGATTTCTTAGCTGATTAAGCCTAATCGCTTGGGTAGAATCTGAAAACATAACAAAACAAACCATTAGCTTGGTGTTGTTTAAAACTCTTTGGTGTTCTCATGTTTTTTATTGATGGACCTTAGGTTAAGAAAACCTGAACAAAAACATATGTGCTGCTGATCAGTCTTGAAATTACAAACTTCTATATGACAGAGAATATAATTAATCCTGATACAAGAGGCAGCAACAAAAGAATTTGACTGTGAACGAGATGGAAGCATGTGAAACAATCAGACGCTGGGGGGAAAAAATAGAAGAAAATTTAATTATCGGTTATCAGTTTGTTTTTCACAACCCATCTGCGGAGTCTTGGTACAGTTTATTGGGCAGTATATTTTCTCTGCGAGCTGATTAATGACGTGATGAAGTGACTCTTGCTTCCAACCTACCTGTTTGTGTGGGCAAAATTAGTCAGTATTTCCTCTTTAGGTTTTGACTCATGAATGGTGCTTTTTGTTTAAGCACTGGTGCTTATGTCACCTTTATAGAGGTCAGCTGTAAATGCCTTTCAGTACAATACATGGCATATTAAGCTTTTTATTTATTTATTATTTTGTTAAGCAGAAAAGTGTCAAAATAAAACTTTTATCTACTTATTTTAAATATGTATGTTTCTGTTGCCCTGAGATGACTTCTATTGTGACTTGGCACGATATAAATAAACTGAAATGAATTGAATATAAATAATATAAAGCAGACTGCTGTGACAAACTCCTTTCATGGGCTGGTATTTATACAGTTTTAGATTTGCATCACTAAAACAAAAAAGGAAATAAATGTATCAAGTACAGAGTAGAACATTAAACAGAGTGAACAAAACAAAGTGGTTCTATATGCAATATTAAAATTAATAAGTTGCAAGAAAGTAAAGAAAGAAATGTGGTAGAGGCACAGGTGTGTATGAGCCCAACGGCCTGCACCTCACATTAGGACTTCAATCCAGGGGTGCCCACACGTTTTTAGCATGCGAGCTACCTTTAAAATGTCCAAGTCAGTGATTT